TTTGTTTGGTTAAATAGATTATTAAAAATAAAATAAAGTAATAAAAGGAAAGGCATTATTATACAAGGGGGAAAATAGAACGAGAGTGGGAGTTCACTTTGGTGCAAATACTTTGAAATCCATGCACAATCTTTTCATAGTATTTTCCATGAACTTTTTGAAGTCATGTCATAGTAACAAAATGAACTAATTAATTTTAAAGGTTATTTTTAAAATAACTTCTGTATAAAAGAATGCCCCAAATGCAAAATTGCAACATACAAAATACTTTATTTTTAAGAACTTGATGAATTATAATTGATGATTTGAGTTTTTTAAAAAAAAATTCCTTTTGGGACCAGCAGTTAGCGTAATGGCTATGTCGCTGGACTTCCATGTAGTCAAAAGCGGTTCGCGTCCCGGACCCGGCGGCTTAAAACTCACACCGGGCGCGTGTGCGTGCATGCCCAAGATCCCGAGAGGAGACTGGAGGAGAAGGGATTGCAGCATGGCTATCCCCCCTGGGGGGTGATTTCTCGCTTTCCGTCTCTCTATCTCTCTCTGGCTGTCTGCAGAGTGCATGCGCCCTATAGCAAAAACCTCTCAAAAAAAAAAAAAAAAGAAAAGAAAAGAAAAAAATTCCTTTTAATGGAAAACCCTCCAGGAAAACTTTAAATATCTGATGTATAAAATCTAGTTACAAGTCACTTTAAATTAAAATACAACAAATTATATTTTAAAGAAAGATAATACAAAGTATTTCCCAGAAATCCAGCAAAAATAAATTGTTTTGTCCATTTTATAGTAATAGACAAATTTTATTAATCATGTGATTGAAAAGTTTCCAGACAAATAATTAAGTCCTGATTAAAAATATAAAATCTAATGTCAAAGAGAGAATAAGAATCTTATCTACAGGGCGGATAAAATTTTATCTACAGGATGGTGGTACTGCAGAAAAATATGACACGCTGCCAGGCAATTCCAAATACGAAGGTTCATACTTCAAGTCCTGAGACTTCTCTGAGCACACCAGATACCCATTATAATGAGCTGGCTGATGCCTGGGAGTGAGTTGTGGTGTCAAGACCCCATTGGAGATGTTATCTCTCTCTCTCTCTCTCTCTCTCTCTCTCTCTGTGTGTGTGTGTGTGTGTGTGTGTGTGTGTGTGTCCTGTTCATAGAAGAAATAAATAATATTTTAAAAACAAATTAGTATTTTTTAAAAAGCTGCAATTCTTTCACTTTTGTATTGTTCATGCTAATGAATGGAATATATAGTTGTCTTTCTAAAATGACATCCTGCTTCATTAGAGGAAAATGTTAAAAAATGGAAACGTATAGATGGTAGAAGATATAAAGGTAATCTTCTGACTGAGCACACTAATTACAGCATTTTAAACTCTGCATTTGTCCTGTGGACATGTATCTTCTGCAAAATGGAAATAGTACCTTTCAAATTCTTACCCCCTCAGAAGTAAATTGTCAGATTTATCTCTCTGTAGTCTCAGTACTTAGGCAATCGTAATAAATTTCCCCTCGAGAAACTCATTGTTAAGACAGGAATTCCGGTAAATGGAATGTATGATTACCCACAGATACCATATATGGCAGAGAACTGCCATGGAGATTACTACAGAATCAAAAAATGTGCATAGGCTTACACTTATTTAGTTACTCAGAAAGGGCTTCTGAATCTACCTGGATCTCAAAATGAACCTCAATAATCTCCTTCAAAAAGGCAGCTGATAGTATATCAATTTAAATATGTACTAAAACTTGAACTTTCTCAATACTGCAATTTAAAAATTAACTACTTCTCATGCGCTTCATTTATTTGCCTTAAACTTTATTTTCACTAATGTAAAAGTCAATAGAAACTATTATATTCCCTTTATTTTAAAAAGTCAGTGATGTCACATTTTATCAACAACAAAAAAATGTTTTTCCATTCCAGGAGTCACATTATTCTCAGTAATTAATTCTGTAAAACGTAGAAAGATAGAGTGTACATTCGTCAAACTAGGCTGTGAGTAAAATTCATATAATCCAAGGGACAAAGTACAGATTTGAGAGGCTTTATTCAAGGTGTTCATTATTTTCGTTCTTTTGGAAGACAAGTCATTTTAGCAAAATGATAGATTAACTGTGTCTTAGTACATACCGTTTATATAGTTTGAGGGCTCTTCAAAACCTTTAGAGAAAAAGCATATTCTGAAAAAAACCTATGCACGGATTTAAAATTTTTTCCATCGAAATAAACTCATACTTTAATTCCATTTTCTATGCACTTTTTAAAATACCATGATATAATAAATAGCATAACCCCCAAGGTGGATATGAAGAACAGTGTGAAACACAGATTTCAAAGGATCTCATTAAGTAAGGGCAAGAGACAAATGGACTAAGATAAATTAGATTTTGTCACATCTAAGAATTTTTGTTACATTAAGAGGAAAAGCCACTTTGACGCTTCAAATTTTTAACACTGATTATCACCCGATAGAGTTTTTCTCCAGTTTTCCCTTCCAGTCTACTCTCCTACCCTCTCCCCTCTCTCCTTTCCTTCTGTTCTTTTTCTCTGGATGTGTGTGTGTGTGTGTGTGTGTTTATCTTAGTATCGCTTATAAACTGTATTGGAAATAGTTTAGAGTGTAGTTGGGGAGTGGGGTGGGAAAGTAAGAGAAAAGAGCAACTTCAGATTTCTCAAACTCTGGATCCTCCCAGTGAGAAGAGTCTCATGTACAAATTCTCCTATTTGTGTTAAAGATTTGGTTTAAACAGGATCCTCCTTCAGACAGAAATTGTTTTCGAGAGTTCCAATAAAGTCCTTTTAAAATGAAACTATTTTTTAAAATGCTATATAATTAGATTCATGCTGTACTGAAGTGTCAAGAGTCCTGTGAGTGAAAAGGAAATACTGCCATGAAATCGTTGCCAGAGATTTAATGTACCCATCTGAATGGAAATCCAAGGTGTTTGTTAACTGAGAATTGCCTGTCAAGGAAAGGGCCAATCTGTGTCCGCTCTTCAGTATTCAAATCTATAAGTAAACTTTTTATTCTAGATTCTTTAAATTTCTTTTTAAAAAATAATACTAAGCAAGTATGTCTTAGACCAGAGCTGACGCTGTCTCTGTTTCATTTTTTTTTCAGAAATTGGAGTTTTATAAAAAGGCATTTTTCTCTTATATCCATAAAATGATATAATTTTTGCAAGTATAGAAATGTGTCATAAATTATACAGAATGTTCCTTAATTACAGATCAGTGCAGCTTGGTACTTTCCTCCCTCCATAACAAATGTGAGAGAACCAAAAAAATAATATATATATATAACTGTATTTTGCAAGTATAGAAATGTGTCATAAATTATACAGAATGTTCCTTAATTACAGATCAGTGCAGCTTGGTACTTTCCTCCCTCCATAACAAATGTGAGAGAACCAAAAAAATAATATATATATATAACTGTAGACTAACCATTTATATATTTATTTATTTATATAATATAGACAAACCCAATATGAGAAAAAAAATCATTTCCTCTTTGGTATAAAAATCAGACTCTCACCTTGAGAGACACACAGACAGACATAAGATCTCTATTTCATTTTTACAAGCACCTTCCAGCCTTACCACACCCCAACACCTCCCAGCCCTGCAGTGGGGACAGCTCCCTGCTGTCCCCACCCTCCCCTTGAGCCTCTTGGGAACACTGTACCTGCAGTTACTTCTCAGGCTCCCTAGTCACTTCGCGAGGAAAACACGATGCACCAATATTCAGACTTTTAAACATAAAGGCAGGGAACGCCTTCTAACATAACACCAAAGAACCCATTTTGCCAGGAGTTCCCATTTATAGTCATTTCTGTTGGAGCAGTTGCCTGGCAGGTCGACGCGCTTATGTGTGCAGTTCCTCACCTATAAAGATGTCTTAGATCATAACTACTAATCCGATCCAGTATTTGTCGTAACTTGCTGATTTAGAAGAAAGAACAAAGCGTGACGCCGCCAGAATCCGCGTAGCAGCTACCTGAGCCAGGCACCGACCTCTCGTCCTCATCAACCTACGCCTGGCCCTAGATTCCGCCACTTGAGGATCCACCGCCTCCTCCCGCACGTCCAGGCGCAACTCTGTTCACTTCTGAACCCCGCGAGTACGCTCGCTGCTGACTCCCAACATTTCACGTAGAGTCCCCCGAGTTCTTGGAGAACCGTCGTTAATTTCAGACCGATCTGGTCTCTGGTGGCAAGTTTCCGGGACACAGGGGACCCTGATGGCCTCTGGACCCATGCACGTCTCCCCAGAGCGGGATTCAGTACCACCCAGCCTGTGCGTTCTCCAAGCCACCCCCCGCCCCCGGAGCCCCCACCTCCCCAATCCCTTTTCACCACCACACCACCAGCCTCAGCCCTGCCGGGCCATCCCACGCCTTAGCGCCTCAGGCACACTTCGCCCCCGCCAGCCCCCGCCTAGGGGAGCTCCCGAGCAACCTTTACTGCAGATAAAGCGGAGAAACCTGTTCTCGGACGCAACCCCACGCGGAACCCAGGGACGCGCACGGCTAAGACCGCTCCACTAGGTAACGTTCCCGTCCGACGTCGTCTGGGACTTGGACTGGTGCAGCTCACGTCTGTGTTTGCTGGCGTAGGGATCCTACATAACTGACCGACAAACACGCTTCCTCTCTCCCCACCCGAAGGGGCCCGGTGGCCGCAAGGGGAGGAGTGCAAATCCCAATCCCCTGCCCAGCCGCCTACAGCGTCCTCCCGAGCGCAGAGAAGCTTTGGCGAGCCTCAGAATTCCAGCAATGAACGCGGTCCCAAACGAAGAGGGAGCCCCGAGCTCTCTTCACCTCTCCAGGCCCGAATCTGAGGCTCTTACTTGCCCCTTAACACTGAGCTGAGCCGTGGATGTCACCTTTTGGCCCACGCGGTCCCCTACCGCACCCCGGCGCAGGGACCCGGGAGAACCCGCCCCCTTCCTCATCCTGGCTGGGTCGGTGGGTCCGGTGCTCACCAGGAGGATCAGCAGCTGCTGCCCGCAGAGGGCTCCGCGTAGGGAGCTCCGGGACCCGGCGGCGGCCATGGGATGCCGAGGGGAGCGGCGCCGAGAGCCCGGGGCGCGGAGAAGCCCTTCTCGCTGCCGCTGTGTTCAGGTCGCTTTGGCCTCTGTCAGGTTTGCCTGCCCGGCGGCTTGTCGGCTCCTAAGATCCGATTGGACCCAGGAGACGCCGAGTGGCCCCTCCTTGTTATTTCTCAAGTTTTATCACTGCCTGAGCAGCTGGGGAGCTGCCTGAGCCTGCCCCTCCACTCCCCGACGGCTGCGCCGGCGCTCGCACGCGGGAAAGCGGTCCCAGGCCCTTTGGCCTCTGTCAGGTTTGCCTGCCCGGCGGCTTGTCGGCTCCTAAGATCCGATTGGACCCAGGAGACGCCGAGTGGCCCCTCCTTGTTATTTCTCAAGTTTTATCACTGCCTGAGCAGCTGGGGAGCTGCCTGAGCCTGCCCCTCCACTCCCCGACGGCTGCGCCGGCGCTCGCACGCGGGAAAGCGGTCCCAGGCCCACCCTCCACCCGCTCTCCCACGCCCCTCGTCTGGCCCGCGGCGCTGCTGCCCCGCCCGGTCCGCACCGCGGCTCTAGCCTCCCAGACTGCCGGCTTCTCCAGCTCCGCCGCTGCGCGTATTCCCGCTGCAGAACCTAAACTCGCCTGCAGGGATCCCTGCCTCAACATGGCCCTCCTGGGTGCCAGGAATACGCTTGTGATGGGATCAGCGGATCCTCCCTTCAGTTCTTGAATAATACTGGGCAATGCCACCAGGTTAAAAGAGAATGCGTATAGTCTCTCTAAATTTCACTGGCATGATGAAATAAACGGCCGAAGTGGCGTGAATCGACTGACGTTTGGTAAACCAGGAATTAAAGCTAAGTGGAAAAAATTCTAATCTCGCCATTAGTATATGCCCAAAATGTAAGTCTCTTCACTGGGAGTTTTATTTACAGACAGTTCTGTGGCTTAAATGAGTCTTCTAAGAAATCATTTGTTCCTAGATGTAAAATATCGGTTTAGTCCTTGCATGGTAAAGGTTGAAGAATCAAAGTGAAGGGATTAGGTGTTGAGATTTCAGAGCACAGGATCTAACTCAACTGAAGAAACCTTTGAAGAATCAAAGATGCTTGAGGAGCAGAGAACAGAAGGGAAGGAAAAGATTCCAGGCAGATGCAATAGGAACCCCATGTGAAAAGCAGCTGGAAGACTTGAGAGAGCCTCCCACGTTTGGGAAGCAGAAAGGGGCTGACTCAGATTGGCCGATGGGATGGAAGAACTGCGGCTGGGAATTAGGTTAGAAAGACAGACTCGTGACAAACCACACTGACCAGTTGGATTTCCTGGAAGATGGAGAACCTCCCATTCAATGTGTGAAAAGGTTTACCAACTTCTGTTACAGAACTGTCGCATTTGGTGAGTTTGTACATTATTAATAAACTCATTAATGCCTGGCTATGGCTTTTTTTAAATACTAAATAAGTATTAAGTATTTAAATAATAAAAGATAAAAATCTTCACAATGTTTTTTAATTCTAAGTGTCCCAAGTTTTTCTGATTTCAACTCTGTCTTCAGGTTAACTAGAATATGATCTGATTATCACTATTCTCCAAGTGACTAAAACTATAGATCTCTCTTGTCTGGTTGTTTTGGCTGTGCTGGATAATAGAGGTACTGTTAAACCTACTTAGGCTGTATGACAGTTGTTCTGAGCTCCCATTTTCGGTATCTACAAAATATAAAAATAAAATAAAAATGTGTAATACTCTATGCCAAAATACTGTAAGAAAGTAAATTGGAATATTTCAGACTTTTAGTCCAAAATTCTAGGTATGATATGAATACTGAATAATGCCTGAATGTGGTGTCAGTAACTATTTTGTAATTTCCTGTTTTGTTACAGTATGTCTTGTCCATCATGAATATGTTAGTCGAAATCTTAATAAAAAGCAATCCCAGTCAACCAGTGTGCCGGCCTCCATGGCACAAGCTGGAAAACTCGCTGAGAAAAGGCTGGGGCTGCATGGGAGGCCAAGGGTGCAGTTCCAGCCCCCTCTACAGTGACAGTTGCAAGTGGGGCACTTGTGATTCTAGCTGGCTGGGAAGTTAGGGCAGGAGAATCGTGACATGGTAAGAGCCTGTCAAAATAATCTCTCTCTCTCTCTCTCTCCCCCCCCTCTCTCCCCCTCTGCCTCTCTTCCTCTTCTCTCTCTCTCTCTCTCTTTCTCTCTCTCTCTCTCCTGTGTGCACACACAAACAGTCTCTCATTTAAAAAATTAAAAAAGCAATACTATTTGGAAAAGAATCTTTATAGATGGTTATAATTAACAACAGAATATGATCTGGAAATAAATTACTTATTTTTTCCTATATGAATGATAGCTTAAAATGAGTTTATTGAACATTTATTTAAAATATGAGTTTCATTTGGGATCTAGTTAGAGCTACATACCTTCTATAATCAAATTAATTTTAAAAGGTTATGAGACTTTATAAAACAGATAGCTTTCCTAAGTTTCCTTGTGTTAATGCTTTGTCCTTCAAAAGGCAATGTCAGTTGGATGTCACTATTCCAAGGATAATAGATGGGACACAGAAATTCTGGTTTATTGCCTATGGATGATAGCATGAATAGTATTCTCAACTGAACTGCTCTTCGGTGTATTTCATGTTGGGTAAATTCTCTTTACAAGCCAAATGATGTATAGCAATTGAATGTTTAAAAATAATAATTAACAAAATAAGAATAAAATCTTTAAAAAGGATAATGGGCCAAAATGGGGAAGTAATTTATTATTTTTCCTTGTTATGTCCTTAGCTTGAAGAATATGAATAGTAATAATAAAGGATTAAGTGGGAAGCAAACCTTGAGGAATCCAGGTGAATGGTAGCGTTTTCAGTAGAAAGTAAACCTAAGATAATTAAGAAGTTCTCTATATCTGGGAGGAATTTCTGGCCATGGAAACAGGAACTGGTCTTAGGAGGCTGGAGCTGACCGCTGGCCCACTGAACCCATCTGCCTTGCACAGGTCAGTGCCAGCAGGTGCTGGTCTAACACACCTGCTCATTCCAGAGGCTTACATGGACAGTGATGAGCAGTGTCAGTTTTCTCAAACACTCTTATGAAATACTGCAGGTTAACTGTATGCTGTTTGAAACAAGTTTGATTGCAAGAAAAGAGATACTTATGAAAAGAAGTTTCAATTAAGACCAAGTAAAAGATTAGTTTGAATAGCCCTTCATATGACACAAAATGTACCTGCCATAGAATGTTCTCTCAGTAACACCTTTGCAATATTATTTAGGATAGTCACAGTGTGACCAGAGGCCCTCCGCTAATTTCTCAGAGTGCCACCAAAAGAAGCTGAGACTTTCTGCTCATTTTCAAAGACTCTTGTACCCTTGGACAAGTTTAAGGCACCAGGAACCTATAAATACTGCACTGCTGCTCAACACAAGAGCCATCCCAGAATCCCTGTCTGCCCTGCCTCTTCTATCTGACCATGGCAAGTACCCACTCCCCAGATCTCGTTACAATCCTTCCAAATTATCCTGTCCACAGTAAAGAGAACCCTGAGTCTAGGCCAAAATGATCCCTGGCCTCCCAGTGAAATATCCTCTTGCCTCTATTCTGTGGTGGGTCTCCTCACACCATCACTTCTCATCCTAGGATTAACTTGTCCCCTGGATGATTAACAGGGGCATTCCCTCCAGAAAATTCAGCAAGCAGCATGGTGGTTAAGGTACTGGATTCCCACATAGCCGACTGCAGTTCAAGTCCCAGACCCGAGGCTTGAAATAAAACTCACATTAGGTATGTGTGTGTGCATGCCCAAAATCCCAGAAGATTGAAGGAGAAAGGATTGCTGTATGGCACCCCCCTGGGAGGTAATTTCTCACTTTCCCTCTCACTGTCTCTTTCTGGTGGATGCATGTGCCCTATGACAAAAAAAAAAAAAAAAAGAAAAGAAAAAAGAAAGAAAGAAAGAAAAAGTTCACTTCTATTCACAGAGTGTAGCTTTTCACTATAACTTTGGCAACAATTATTTAAAAGCATGGCACTGTACACTTCTCAAACTCCAAATCATCCAGTCTAAGTCCCACTGTGACAATAATCCTATCCAGATAGGTGTGTCATGGTTGGAAAGTTTCCTTTTCATTCTCTTCTTATTAATCAATGATTCAAAAACTGTTATAATTGGGTTTCTCTTCCACCACTGAAACCTTCAGGCTCCCTTACTAATATCCTCTTCTGCAAACAGTTCTTTTAAGGAGGAAGGAGCTCTCGGTGACCTCACTGGGCTGGAAGGAATGGTAATTTCCACACAAAAACAAAACTCCGTTATGTGAGTGAAAACTTCTTACAGCAACCAAACAAGAGCTGTGTAACAAAGCCCTGTTACTGGTGAATTTTTAGTGCTCCCGCCTCCTGCCATCTTAGACTCTCTCATAACTCTTCACCAGGGTTTGTGTCAGAGGGGAAGTCTCTTGCGCTGGGTGAGACTACACAGTATCTCTTGTTTGTTCTCATGTGCTCAGGAGCTCATTCTATGACTCTGTCAAAGGGCATTGCTCAAGCATGAAGGTTACAGGTGTGAGTAGGCTGCCTTCCAGCCCTCGTGTCATCCCTGATTCACAGCTCCATCAGTCTTCTCTTTTCCCAGAAGGTTAGGACTATCCATCTGCATCAGCCTGGGAAAGAGGCCTCTCCCCCAGCCAAGATACCTGGCAACTAGCTCTGAAGGGATGAAGCAGTTTTTTGTTTTTTTTTTTTAATGAGCAGTAAATTTATTTAATTCAACATGTATTTATTTATTAGCATATTCATTAATAATTATGTATTAATTCATTTTATTTACTAGAAGACTAATCTTTTTTTTCCCCAACCTGCCATATTTCCAAGTCCTTCTGTCACCCTATGAGATGTAGGTTTCCACCAACTAGAAACATATGGGATGTTTATGAGACATCATATTCACTGAGCAGGCCCAATGCCACAAAGACAATCAGTTCTTGTCTTGCATTGCTTTCAAGCATCAT